GTTTTATTCATTTACTTTATTAGACACCATTTTTGATGATACATTATAATAAATCATAAAACACAAAAAGCAAAATGGAAAACAGAATTTAGGGGAAAATAAAATGGACTTTTTTAGGACCCTAAATTAAAATGTGGGGTTTAATTGTGAACAAACATTATGTTTACATTCATTCTCATGGTCTAACAAACATATGGAAAGCATTTCCACATTTATGGTAAATTAATATTGTGATTGTATTTTTGGCCATATCACCCAGCCTAGCGCATAATTCACAATATTAAAGGGGTCATATGATGCGATTTCTATTTTTCCTTTTCTTTAATGTGTTGTGTAGCTATTTGTGCATGTATAAGACCTGCAGAGTTACAAGGCTCAAAGTCTCCCACAAAAGGATTTATTCTATCTAAAAGAGAAGGCTGATCCAGACCGGGCTATCTTTAAAATAGCATCATATGACCCCTTTAAAGGAATGAAATGAACATTATCTAATTTTCTCACCATCACGTCATTCCGAGCATGTCTATTGAACAAAAATTGAGAAATTCTGCTCTCTCTTTTTCATGCAATTACAAAAAGAATTGACTGACGCTTCAAAAAATTCCATAAATGCATCATAAAACATTTGCACTTCTGATGCCTTGCGATGGCTTTGTGTGAGAAAGAGACCAAAACTGAAGTCAGAACTTGTTATTAAGAGCATCATGCTGTGATTTATGTTGCCAGTCATTAAGTTGGCTGAGTGGCGCATCTTCTGAGATTATGAAGGCCGAAAACCCCTGCATTAGATAAATAAAAATCCTTTTCATAATTTTCTTCCATCTAATGCTGTCTTTCTCTCCCCCTTTCGCCCCTCTCCTTCATTCAATAGCTCAAGCTACTGCTGCATTCCAGGCGCGATACTCTGATATCTTCCCCACTAAGGTGTGTTTACAGCTCAAGATCCGAGAGGTCCGGCAAAAGATCATGCAAACGGCAGCTCCGTCGGAATTGGCCGGCACTTCAGATATATCCTCATTGCCGGGGCCTTCTGGGGTGGTGGCGGCCAGTGACATCACTGTTGGGGCAGAGCCTCAGGAAAAAGAGGCCGAGCGGGAGGGTGAGCAGAACAGCTCGGAGGAGCCCAGAAATGCTGGCGATTCACAGGACTCCACCAGATGAGGTTGATGGGCAGATGGATGGCTTGAAGACCAGATGTCTCCCCTCAACATCTGCATGATCTACATTTGTTGTCTTGTCTCTGCTATGACCGCCTCCGAAGGACTTAGAGAGAAAAAGCAAGAGCAAAATTTTCATGGATATGGGGCAGATGAGGGGAGACGCCTCGAAACGCTTTGGGGTTTTGAAACTTCTCAGTATTTCACGTGATGTTGAATTATGAAAACTTAACATCGACACATTCAGACACTTGCCTACATAAACACAGACACTGTTGAATATACACTCTTTAATTTACAGCATTATCTTAGTCATTAGGCTTCCTTTGGACTTTGAAACTAGAGGACTGTGGGCCTGTCCTGTACGCCAGTGAAGTCGCAGTGCTGCTGATGCCTCTAGAAAGGCGAGACGTGCGAGGGCACCCCATCCCTTTTCAGACTGAGCTGTGTTCGTAGGTCTGTTTGGCCACAGGTGTTTTATTATTGGTTTGTGGGTTACTGCCAGTCATTGTGAGGCGGGCCTCCATTGGCTGAGTTTAAGTGATAATGAAGACTTATTGTCCTTTTATTTTAGATTTTTTTCTTCTTCTGTGGTGTTTTAATTTTTGAAGACTTTTCCTAGAGAGCTTTAAGGCACTGAAAACCTTTGGTGAGGGACTGAACTGCGCTGCCATTCATAAACCTTTCGTCCGATGATTGGCTTTAGTGGTTGTCAGTCAAACTGGAGTCATTCTGAGGCCTCTGATTGGCTAGCCATGAAGGAAAAAGGTCATGGAAGGGAAGTCAACAGGCACATTATTGCCATTGATTTATGTTTTTCCATATATTAAGAGATTCCACATATTTAAACATTTCTTTCCCTGCCTTTTTTATTCAGCTTTTCATGAGCTGGTGAAGCACGGAGCAAAGAGAATGTTGGGAATATATTCGTAAGAATTTACTATAAGAATTTTATTAACTTTTTAGAGAAACTTGATTTTTCAACTCGTAATGCTACAGGTTATAAAATCTCATTATTACTGTTCTTATTAAAGGGGTCATAGGATGCTACATGCACTTTTACAAGTTGTTTGAACTGAAATGTGTGTTGGCAGTGTGTGTACACAACCACCCTATAATGATAAAAATCCACCCAGTGTTTTTTTTTAAATCTGGTTAAATGTTTTCCCCTTTCTCAAATCGAGCCGATCTCAGATGCCTGTCTGTGTGACACCACACAGACAAGCCCCTCCCACGATAGTTTGATTGACAGTAGCGTTTCAGCACAGGCTGGACTGGTGTCTTACCTTAGACCCGCCCTGAGTGAGCTGTCATCAGTCCGCCATTGTTTCACCGCCAGAGCAGGTGTAGACAAGAATGACTCCTAAGCGATTGAGGTCTTCTGTTGTTGGATGTAATAATGAACATAGCATTCGTCATTTACTCCCGACATCTGAGCCGCTGAACTCGCAGTGGATTACGTTTGTTTTTTAAGGGAATGCTCCCCGATCTACCTAAATGCGTCTATGTTCACGCGAATCATTCACGATCCAGCCTCATCTACAGAAGAAGTGAGTATAATGTTTTGTAATGAATCTTTGCAAATCGCCTTTCCTAATAATGTGCTAATTAGCAAGTTTCACAATGAATGCGGCTAAAGTAAACAGTCCCTCAGAGAGCGGCTCGGAAGAGAGGGGCGGGGTCAGCAGAGCTCATTAACATTTAAAGGAAAAAGCTACAAAAACGGCTTGAGCTGAAAAGGGTTTTTTACACTACCATTGGGAAATTTTAACCAAACTGTTACAGACTTTTCATTAAGAATCCAATCATATCAGCTTGTGGAAAATTGGCATCCTATGACCCCTTTAATGCTTTGTTGTTCTTGTGGATCTGATCCTTATAACCTATATATACTGTATTCCTATTAATATACTCTTTCTTTAGCAGAAACGGAGGGATGAGTTCAGCTCTTCCCTCGCACATAGAGGCACTTCCACTACCTTTTTTTTTTTTTTTTTACATTTTTCTTTCACTCTTTATATTGATATTCACAATGTTTTATTTCTTACCAGGAAGTAATTACATAATCTTTTGTTGTTAGACACTCCAAACATCTTTCTGGTAGTTGTACATTTTTTATTATTTCGGTTTGCCACTTACATTCCTCCCCTTTCTCATTCCTCTTCCTGTCACTTTATGGTTCTTTCCTCAATCACTTTAAGGCTGTGAGGTGAGACTGGGAGGCCATAGATGGTGATCTTCTCTTGCAGCACTGGTCTTTGTTGTACATAAATACAGTAAGAGTCCAAAGACTCAAGAATCACAATAAAGAGCAGAAACCTCATTGGAAGAAACAAAGCCAGTAACAAGAAATGAAATTGTATAACAAAAGGAGAAATAAAGAAATATGGTTAGAAACTGTTCTTAATGTGTTCCCTTGTTTTGCTGATTTACATATCCGAGAAAGACTTTATACCGATACGCTTTCCATTTGAACTGTATCTCTCAGTAAACAAATAAATAGATGTTCAAAGAAACAGACTCTTCGTTATAAGTAGAAAGATTGAGGAAGAAGCACAATTATGTGTAAAACTTCACTGATCTACTTTTGTGTATGAAGTTTTGAGTTCTGAAAGTTAGAGTATGGCTGAATAGTACATCAAGTTATTAGATGTGAACATTAAGAATAAAGGAATGATTGGGTGTTTCTATATGCAGGTACTAGTTACATTATGGGTATATTGTGGTAAGTTTATCACATTTCTTGACATGCTACCTGTAAAGAAGATTAACCTACAAAGCCAATTGCAGTATGAAGAGACTAATGAATTCCATGTAACGTCAGAACAGATTTAAATAGATTTTACTCCAGAGCACAAAAGTGTTATTTTCAAAAATGTCTTCAGTGTGGTTTTTGTCCATACAATGAAAGTCACTTGGGTCCCCTTTTGGCCCCATTTGACTTGCACTGCATCTACTAAGAACGTTGAAACATTTAAAATATCTTCTCTTTGTTCCGCAGAAGAAAGTCATATAGGTTTTAAACAACACGAGGGTGAAGAAATGATGACAGAATGTTCAATTTTGAGCGAACTATCCCTTTAAGGTGATGTCGTTATTGCTGTTATTTCCTCAAAGCAATTACAAGGGAAACAGAGAAACTGTTTATTTGCAACACTTCTCCAAATCAGCATCATAACATTAAAAATGCTACAAACATTCAGTGTACAGACCGAGAGATGTATGATATGTAACACATGGGAATCCTGTGTCCATTACTTGTTTTGAACTCCCTCTTCCCTGTTGTTTTGTTCTTCAGGTCAATGCCCTTAAACTACCTCCTTGCAACAACTGCAGGTTAGAATGTTAACCGGAAATCATTACTGTCCATGGGTGTAATTCTTTAATTTAGAAATCTGTGCCTTTATACCCTCTATCTGGCTCTGTCCAAATGCCAGAACAAGAGTGTCATGCGGTGTCATCAGTAAGACAGACTGTCCATTTCTAGTCCCAAAACAGGAGCCATCTAATCATAGATCTGAGCCTGTCAGATGCATCCTCTAAAATCAGCCCTCTTTTAAGATTGTAAACTGAAATTTTGAAAAATGTCTTTTAAAAATTTAAAACAAGGCTGAAAAATATCTGAAAGGATAGACTGGATCGGCTATTTGAGGTACGCGTGTTCACACATTCAATGACTTTAATGGAAATTAATACAACGTCTTGAATTTGGAACACTTTCTCTCAATCTCTGCTTTCACTTGTTCTGACCCATCTGACATCACTTATGCTCTTCTTTTAATCGCAGTCTTTAAATCTCCAAGACGATGGCCACAGGAATGCTGCCCTGTTCTTCACTTCTCTCACATTAACTGCAGGCTGTCCACAGTGATGGCCTCCATGCTGATGCCACTCTCCAATGCCGTGTGGTACAGCTCGATGGCCTCTGCCAGGTCTCCGCTTGTCTCAATGATGGCTATAGTCTCTCCAAGCTCGTTACACATGATAGTGGGAGTTCCATGAGTCTGAAATGTTGAAAAAATAGAAACCATTGTTTTTTGCACCAAAAATTTATATGCAGAACTAGCAAAGACCCAAACTCACACACAGTAGGGCGGTTTCCAAAAATGCAAAAAAAAATTGGAATCAATTGATTCTGATTCATGGTTCTGGAACTGACTCTGGAATCGATTCCTCACTGTTGTTTTCTTTTCTTTTTAACATCAGAGGAACATGTTCACCTAATATCACTTGGCTTTAATGTAGGAAACATGTTGAAGACATAAGCTAATCATATTTTATGTTGTATGTTATTCGACATGCAGTAACTTGAGTAAATGAAAGTTAATCATCTTAATCAGCAATACATGTTCATACATATGGCTTTATTTGAAAGTTTCTGCATGACATACCATGATACTGAGTTGTTAGAAATACGTACGATGTAAAAGAACAGCTGCAATCATTTTTTTTAACCCATTTATTGAAACTGACCATCCATCACTATAGTGAGCGAACGAGATGTGAATTAATGATTAGCTGTATTGAGCTGAAAAAGCTATTAAAGAGGAGTCGATTCCCTTTTATTTTTCCAACCTTTGCAATAGATTTTTGATTCCCAAGGCCTCTGAATCTTTTTTTTTTTGGAAATCGATTCCGAGCTCTAACACATAGAAGTAACAGCTTCCTACCTGTGTCAGGTTGGATGTCTGTATTTGAATGACTTGGGGCTGTCCAAGCTGAACCTCTTGCTGGCAGAAGGCTGGTACCGTGGCTGCCATGTCCATCTCAGAAGCTTCCACAACAGCAAAAGTTGCTGTGTTACATTCTGCAGTCACTGCTTCTGCATTGTGTTCTGGCTCTTGTTGCTTTTGGGTGTGAGTGTGGGTCTTACGATGGTTCCTAAGGTTCGAAAACGTCTTGAAGGTCTTTCCACATTCACCGCAAGCATGCGGCCGCTCGCCCGTGTGTGTACGCCGGTGTTCTGCCAGATGCATGCTCTGCACAAAGCCCTTATCGCAGAACTCGCACCGGAACGGACGCTCGCCCGAATGCGTGCGAAGGTGCTCCCGCAGGTGTGTGTTCTGGCGAAACCGTTTTCCGCAGATCGCACAAGGATACGGACGCTCACCGGTGTGTACTCTCTGATGTAGTGTAACGCTTGAGGCTGAACCAAAAAGTTTTCCACAGACCGGACAGGGATGAGACTTGCCAGTGGCGGAGCTTGAGCCTCGAGGCCGGCCGGGCCCAAGTCCGTGACTTAGCTGGTGCAGGCGGAGATTTGCAGGAGAGTTTAACCTCTTGCCACAAATAGTGCAATCCAGATTAGGTCTCGCCATCGAAGGAGTGCTTAGCTGCTCTGTCTTATCCGTCGTGCCCTGTTGACTGCTAACCTGGGAGTCCTGGGAGATGCCATGTGGCTGTGTCAGGTTGGGATGCTCCTCCAGGCAATGTAGGTCTCGCTGACGCTTGCGCAAGAACCCCTCGGAACAATGCGGACAGGGGTAAGGTGCCGGTGACCCTGGGTGGTGAAGAAAACGTTGAGCTACAAGTTTAGCAGGACGGATAAAAGTAGCAGAGCAGTCTGGACAGGGTGAGGGCGTCGTGTTGCTGTGAAGATGCTGACGGTGTTGGCGTAGATTTGACGATTGGCTGAAGGCTTTGTGGCATACGTCACACCGGTACGGACGGACTCCCGTGTGTGTAAGTCCATGGCGGGAAAGATTTGCAAGAGAGGAAAAGGTCTTTCCACACACGCTGCACTGGAACGGACGCTCGCCCGAGGTGCTCCCGCAGGTGTGTGTTCTGGCGAAACCGTTTTCCGCAGATCGCACAAGGATACGGACGCTCACCGGTGTGTACTCTCTGATGTAGTGTAACGCTTGAGGCTGAACCAAAAAGTTTTCCACAGACCGGACAGGGATGAGACTTCCCAGTGGCAGAGCTGGAGCCTCGTGGCCGGCCGGGCCCAAGTCCGTGACTTAGCTGGTGCAGGCGGAGATTTGCAGGAGAGTTTAACCTCTTGCCACAAATAGTGCAATCCAGATTAGGTCTCGCCATCGAAGGAGTGCTTAGCTGCTCTGTCTTATCCGTCGTGCCCTGTTGACTGCTAACCTGGGAGTCCTGGGAGATGCCATGTGGCTGTGTCAGGTTGGGATGCTCCTCCAGGCAATGTAGGTCTCGCTGACGCTTGCGCAAGAACCCCTCGGAACAATGCGGACAGGGGTAAGGTGCCGGTGACCCTGGGTGGTGAAGAAAACGTTGAGCTACAAGTTTAGCAGGACGGATAAAAGTAGCAGAGCAGTCTGGATAGGGTGAGGGCGTCGTGTTGCTGTGAAGATGCTGACGGTGTTGGCGTAGATTTGACGATTGGCTGAAGGCTTTGTGGCATACGTCACACCGGTACGGACGGACTCCCGTGTGTGTAAGTCCATGGCGGGAAAGATTTGCAAGAGAGGAAAAGGTCTTTCCACACACGTTGCACTGGAACGGACGCTCGCCCGTGTGTGTGCGCAGGTGGTTTCGCAGATGGATCTGCTTCTTGAACGGTTTCCCGCAGATGTTGCATTTAAAGCGCCTTTCGGTCGTATGAGTCGTTCGGCGATGACGCAACAGATGAACCTGTGAGGAGAATCTTTTATTACAAATAGAGCAAGGGAACTTTGGCTCTTCCTCAGCAGCAAGAGTCCCAAGTTTACTTTCTTCCTCTCCTCCTCCCACATTGGCAGCAGTTGAATGGTTAGGGTCGTCTGTCTGTATTTTCCCTCCATTTTGGGTTTGTTCTGTGTTTGAGGGTTCAGCATGAAGCCCATTTTCTGTTGGCTCTGAAGACTGGGAAACCACTGCAATACCTCCAGAACCTGTGCCACTGGACTCTTTTCTGTCATCTTCCACAGGAGGAATAGTCACCGCTTGTCTCTCTTTCCTCCAAGCAGCCTCTCGTTCTCTTGCTCTTTGAATGATAGAGAGAGGTGACTGCTGGGCCAGTACAAACTGCAGAGGGGAGAGGTTTGAATTAATATTAAATTTTTTTCTTAGTTAAAACATTCACATTCAGTTCCGTTCTAAGGAAAAAAGTATATAATAGGCTTTTGTGCAATTATTAGGTTCTGAAGTTTTTATGGATAAAATGAACAATAGCACTTACAGTGTACATCTTTTTAAAAATTGATATTTCTTAAATCGCACGACCTCAGTGCAAATATGTAATAAATCAATTATAATAATTCATAATAATAAGTTATTGGTGCTTTTTAAGAATGAACTATATGTCTGTACATTATTGGTTATCGGAAGGTATTACAGATTTTTTAAATTATGAATTTTTAAATGTGAAATATTCTATATGCATCACCAATACTGAATATTTATTTGTACATGACCATTTTTTCTATACTATGAACATTGTTGTTTTATTGTGTACATTATTATGCCTTTAAAGGGTTAGTTCACCCAAAAATGAAAATAACTCCGACTGGATTCGTCTGAAAGAAGAAAGTCATATACACCTAGGATGCATCGGGGGTGAGTAAAACGCAGCCTAACTTTCATTTTTGGGTGAACTAACCCTTTAATGCCTATATTCCCTTGTATCATTTAAACAACTGATTTTAAGTTTTAAAGTTTTTATTTTTTTTATTTACATTAGACAAATTAGTATAACATTTTAATATGAGGTATTTATTGATTATCAGCCAAAACAAGAAAATTATTATCATATCAGTATTGGACAGAATTGAATATTGGTGCATCCCTAGTGTTTTTAAACATCAAATTGAATTTTGATGAGGGCAAAGGCCTCTAAATGTAATAATAGGAGAAATGAGCATGAACACTCAAATACTGGTAAATGTATATATATATATATATATATATATATATATAAATACAGTGCACAGCATAAATGAGTACACCCCCTCAAATTCAGCAATTACTCTTTACTTAGAAGACATGTTAAGGTTCTCTGGAGATATAATGTTCCAACAAGTCTGCTTGATCAATTACAAAAAAAAAAAGAATGTCTATATATATATGTATATGTATATATATATATATATATATATATATATATAAAATATTCACCAATACGGATACATTTAACAATAAATTTCAAAATCTCTAATATTGTCTGATAACCAATATGATACTGATGTTGTGCATAGCTAATTTTGTTTATTAAGTCAACTATTACCTGAGAGACTGGTGCGGTCGGCTCACGTACTCTGTGAGTGCGACGATGGTACAAGAACTTGGTCATGTTGGTGAAGGTTTTGGCACAAAATGGGCATTTGTGCAGTGGCTCAGATGTATGGGATTTCCTAAAGCGGGAAAAGCAAGATAAAATTTCGTTTTGATGACAAGAGTTTTGATGTTTGACAACACAAGTTTGTATTTGTTATTACCTGTGTATCATAAGAGTAATTTCTGTGGTAAAACCATGTCCACAGTCCACACACAGAAAGCGTGCCTCACCAGAGTGTGTGCGCATGTGAGTCTGAAGGGACACCAACTTCTTAAACACTTTATCACACTCTGGGCACTCATGTGTTCCTTGTTCATGCACTCGAAGGTGTGCCACAAGCCGATTGGCAGAGGTGAATGTTCTTTTGCACTCCTCACACCGAAGATTGCTGGGTGACGGTGTCAAACCCAAACCAGCCAAGCGGGCAGTGTATGTACGCCTCCCAGCAATAACTTTGCCAACTTTGCTGCCCTCTTCAGATCCATTACTTCTTCCTTCATCTTCCTTAGCCCCAGAAATATCTTCATACCCCACCATCACCCCAGTGTCCCCACTCTCTTTGTCCTGGCCTAAGAAGAACAATGTGGAAATAGGCCCAGACATTGTCACAACGAAACTCCTGAATTACTAAGAGGGGGAAAACCTGATCCTATCACCATGGACCCCACTGTGACATGAACAAAAATCAAATATAGCTTTTATCACATCACTCCTAGTTCGATCATGGTGTAAAACAAACCCTCTTTAAAGAATGTGTTGTGTGTGTATAGCTGTATGTATGTATGTATATATGTATGTAAACAGACCTGGGCTAAGGTCAGGATCTGGCCTGCCTTCTGTTCATCCAGAACTAGATTTTGAACATTGAGCAACTGAACCGGAGTGACTGAACCATCTGCCTGAAGAACATATTCCTGAAACAGAACCCACAATTAAATTAGAAATGGCTAAAAAGATCACAAGATAAATATATTACTCTGCAGTATGTACAAGTTGTTTGTTGAGCACCTCAAGAACCTGACACAGTGGCAATCAGGGTGTAGATGGTTTTGATGATATTAATAATTGATTTGTTTAAATAGATACACATTTCTCTATTAAACAGCATTATTGTGTTACTGACAACAGTTATTAGCTGATATTAGAATTTCTGTCAAAATTAGATATCTAATATCTAAAATATCTTAAGATTTTTTTAAATTATACTTCTATTCAGCAAGGACGCATTTATTGTAAACAAAAGCGACAATAGACTTTTACATTGTTACAAAAAAATTATATTTCAAATAAGCAGTCGTATCGAACTTTCTATTAATCAAAGAATCCTGAAAAAAGGTATCACGGTTTCCCAAAAAATGTTGAGCAGCACAACATTTTCAACAACAATAAGAAATGTTTCCTGGGCACCAAATCAGCTTATTAGAATGATTTCTGAAGGATCATGTGACACTGAAAACTGGAGTAATGATGCTTAAAATTCAGCTTTGCACAGGAATATACTACATTTTTACAATTTGAAATATATATATATATAAAAAAGAAATTAACATTGTAATTTACATTGTATTAATGTTTTACAGTATTACTGATTTTACGGTCTTTTTATATCAATGCATCTTGGTGAGCATAAAAGACTTTTTAAAAACATTAAAAAAAAAATATTACCAACCCCAGACTTTAGAACAGTAATGTACATTAAATTATTTGATTTATACATATGCCATATTAACACATTTAGTGCTTTTCAATACTTTTTCATGGGAGTTTATTGTTTTATAATAATTGTACATATTGTTATAAAAAGTTTTACACATAAATATAACATTATTCCAGTTGAACTAAAGTTTTCTTTAGATGGCATTCACAGAACTCTGCTGTCAATTTACAATCTGAACATTTTTATAATATACCAATTCAAACGGTTCATTAGCTGAAAGAGATTTCTTTCATACATAAATGAACATTGCAACTGGAATATTCCCAAATGAATTGGAATCTAATCAAAACAAACTGAGAGCAAATCAGAATCAGCATGGATACCCAGCCTCGTTTATCGGTGTGTGTGTGTGTGTGCGTGTGTGTACTCACTGTGTCAGTGTTCAAGCTGCTGTGGGTGCTGCTTCTATTGTGTGCCTGTCTGTGAGCCAACCACAGCTCAGGTGTGTCAAACAGAGCCAGACATTCCAAACACTGATACTGGATTGGCACTTCTGCATCGACAGCATCCACCTCTGTGACCTCACACAGCTCTGAAAATAAAGCATTCATGTGCTGATTACATGCACTTGAAAAAACTCCCAACTTAAATATACAGTATAGCACATACATTAAACACTGCACTCACCCTGGCCTGCCTCTCTCATGTGCAGCTCTTGATGCAGCAGCAGTTCATCTGGGTTCCTGAGGATGGCTCCACACTCAAGGCATTGATACTGGCTCTTCCCAGCGTCACAGTCCTCAAGGCTCGGCAGGACCTCGACCTCGTCCCCCTCTGCTCCGGTGTGGATCTGCTGATGCACCAGCACCTCCTCCAGCGTATTAAAGAGCTGCTGGCACTCACTGCACATGTACTGATGCTCCACATATTCCTGCTCACTCATGGTAACTGCACAGTTCTAAACTTGTTAAGATGCAGAGTCTCTTGGTGTGCTGAAGAGCAGATGCAGTGCTGGGGTTATGAGTCACAGTCACTGGGTTCAGTATGCATTCTTATGCTCAATATGAATCATAAGCCTCAAAACAACCTGAAAAAAAAAAAAAAACTAAAGAAATACAGATATGTCAGAACATTCCCAGACAAATTATCTGGCCTTGCACATTTATATTAGATACCATAACCTATCATTCAGGAACAGATTCCCACAGACCACTAATTATATAGATATTACAAATATAATATATATATAACCATTGAGATATGGGACAAAACGTGTCACACAACTTAACGTGCCATTTAGTTTTTAAAATTGCAAAACTTTGAGATTATCGCTACACAAATGTACAATTTCAATCTTTAATTTTATAATTCAATCATATAATACCCCTAAGACCACCTCAGACCAGTTAGATCAGTGCTTCTCAATTACAGGGCCTCAGCAAAAGTCCAAAAATATTATTTAAATGTAGTTATATTAACAAAATCGTAATGTGTGTGTATATATATATATATATACACACATATTTATGTTTCTACTAATATTTCAACTAGTTTTATTAGGTTTCACAGCTGTGACCCTACTTTTTGTAAACAGTGAACACTATCAGATATTTATAAAAACAATTATTAAATCCGGTAACCTATGACACTTATGCATTAATTATAATAATGAAGTCCCTGCATAACATGTGGCAGCTCCGTGATATAAAGAGTCCACAATTCAGTAATTTCTCTTCATTAATAAATCTGAAAAATATGACAGACATTACAAATGTGGTACAGATGCAGGTGTTAAAAGCAAAAGGATTGATAATACACCCGAGAATCATGCAAAACTTCTAGCACTAGTCGTGGCGGAATCCGTACAAACAGACAACAGCATTTAGCGGGTTTCAGACAAGCGGCTCACCTTTTGGCGAGCAGTTGGTGGCGCTCTTCAGATTTTACCAGAGCTTATGGCGCACCCCGCTGTCTCCTGAGCTAGCCACCCCGCTGTATGGCGGTCGTCAGGCGGCGCTCTTCACTTTTCCCCGCAGGTCTAAGAGCGCTGAAGGGAGGCCTTCTTTCCCCGGCCGTTTCTAAACCTCACCTCGCGCGCTGTAGTCGGGCTATCCCTTGTGCAACGCTCGTCAGCCCCGCGGAAGCTTTCCGGTGTTCACAGTGCGTTTCTCACCGCAACGAACCAGTATTATTCAGCGCGTCGCACTGTTTGTTAATTGTTTTGACGTAAAGACGATGGTGGATGTGGAAATGTAGCGTTTGTCTGGCCTCTGTTCCTTGCTATGTGCGTGCTGCCCCGCCCCGTGGAGGAACCACGTGTGGCTTGTGCAGTGCGCTGATTGGCTAGAAAGACTGTCAGTCTAGCTGTTGGATGCTAGGGTATACTGTTTGGTATGAATGCGAGGCTACATCTAACTCATATATATACAGATGGATCTAAAGATCCTGAAACAGGACGCACAGCAGCAGCAATATATGTTCCAAGGTTCAGGTATAGAATAGCAAAAAGAACATCTAATCACCTATCAGTTTATACAACAGAAATTATTGCCATATTATTGGTTCTTCAGTGGGTTGAAGACATTAATATACCTGAAGTAGTCATATGTTCAGACTCCTATTCAGCACTATCAAGTTTAATGAGTGGTAAATCTTCAACTAGACAAGACGCGGTAAATGCACCTAAAGCTGGTTTGCCAACCGCCATAAAACGTCAAAGAAGAAGAAGAAGAGCGGCTACATCTGCTGATCTAAGGTCCTAAACAACCAATAAATTCATTAATAATAAAACATCTCAAAACACACCATGTGTTTATTGTTAAATATTATGGATTATTAATTGTTCGGAAATGTATATCTCGCGCAAATATAAAGATTATGATTAGTCCCGCGAATGGTAGGCATTGATATTAAAACATTTCCCTTATCAGCCCATTCCTGAACCATTAAGGGAAAAACTGTTTGACTTTCATGTAAATGGACATTTTGTCAATTTAAACGTTTTTGTAAAAGAAGAGATTTTAATCGACAACAAATGTGATAGCACTTTTCATCTGAAGTCAAAGTAATCATTTCAGTATTTATTTAGCTATTTACTGTATTATAGTATGTTATGCCATAAGGTTATGCAATGCATGGCTTTTCAAACATTCTGCTTCCTAAAGACTGATTGGAAATTAGGTTCATTTCGAGTATTTTATTCTATTGACGGGCACAGTTTTATTGGTAAGAAAAAAAGATGGTGCATTTATATTTATGAGTCCTTGGCGTGAAAAATGAATGAAAAGCTAGTCATGCTCATGCTGCAGGATCTATGCACGTGAAAGTGTTGTTGAACTTCATTACCCAGAAAACAATGCGCATAGAGCGTCACTGTGCGTCAGCTCTGGTTGCCCAGCCACAGAGAAAGAAAGAGGCGCACAGTTTGCTATTAGAATAGTTCAGCAATCTTATTTTTTTTTTAACGTTTACTGTAGTCTAAATTGACATATCCACTACGCGCCTGGGCCAGTCTACAGGCACAGTTTACCCCCGCTCTGGCACACTTGCAACCCGAAATGAGCGGCAGCGGGCGGCCCAGGACTAGCTCGTTTGCTGAGCCTCCGGGGATCCCGGGAGCCGCTGCAGCCGCCGCCGGATCAGCCGTCGCTGGTGGAAGCTCTTCAGGAAAGACGGGGGGCGCGCAGGCCTCAGGCGGGAGTTCGTCTGGTTTCGGAAACCTAAAGCTGGGCAGTGAGTATCATTCAATGACTTCACACGACAATCCCAATAAATGTGATATTAGTTGACTAGTAAAAGCCGAAGTGCTGGACCGTGTAGCCTGCTGTTCATTAATTTGTCTGATTATTTTGCCATTATCGCGTTAACCTACTTTAGGCGGCTAACTGGCTAAGCTAACGTGAGCTTGTTTTTGTAGACGGATCAAGGGCTTTGATAGCTCTACATTAGCTCGACAATCCTTCATAAGAGCACTGGCTAAACGCATATCTTATGCTCGATACCAATGCATCAAATTTTGACCACCTTGAGCCCTTCTTTAGAATATGATTAGTGGTTTGTTAGATGTTTAGACGTCGCGTTTTTGAAGATGTGCTCGTTTGGTAACAAAGCTCAGTTAGCCTACTGACAACGTCTACCAGACTGTATCCTCAATTTTGCGTTTGATTTAAATAATTTCATTATGCGCGACCCTGGATGCATTTAGTTGCATCAGAAATGTCTTTAATAATAATCTTAATATTTAGTTAAACCTAGAGAGGGCCAAATTGGCGTTTGCCTGTCCATATATTTTAAAGGAAAAATATCAGAATCAATGTTTATAACATATTATTATTAATATAACGTTAAAAGACCCCCAGCCTTCCTACTCGCAATCTAACAGATCATCACAAAGCTTTGAGTACAAACACTGCGTCCTATGAAGGAAAAATGACCCAATGTAAATTTGTGGTTGGGCTACTCCTGTGAAAACTAGTGGTTTCCCTAGAGGCATAAACCTCTTCATTTGGTGCTCTATAAATGATTCCCAGTGACTACAGTGCTGGCAGCAGCGTTCATACACTGGTGCTGACTGCTGGATTTCCATGGGAATGATGATGGGTGTTATTACTAGGAATGATGGAAGATGGAGTGGGTGGATGTACGACTGTAACCTATGAGAAACCTTGAACCAGTAGTTACAACACAACAAACATTGCTGTTTTTGTCATTTCAGCATAGTATAGTAACCATTGTTAATTACCCTGTAGACATTTGCACTTGCCTAAAAACATGATACATTTTATACATTAACGTTAGGTTTGCATAATGTGTAATATGTTTTCACATTTTTATTTGCAAATACATTATTTTTATATTCATATTCACATTTCTGTTTCAAGCAGTGATAAAATCATCCTTCAGTTCATCACTGAAAGCCACTAAATGGCATAAACATGATCAATGAACGCATGACAAAGTGACTGGCCATTAACCGGCCTGAATCCATCTCTCTCATTCTAGAGGATAATACTAGGCTGTCTTTTTAATGACGAGCTTTGGCATTTCAGATTCACGATAGCATCATTTTAGTTGCTATGTGATGATTTTTTATATTTTTTTGCTTTGAGAGAATTATTCAGTCACATGACTGGTTGTTAGAAAGGCACAAGTCTTTTATGCACATGTAGCAATTTATTCTGTTATAATGTTTCCCTCATAGTTAATGAGCTTGTCTTCCTGAATAAGAATATATCCACCTCAGATGAAAAGAATTGTGCACATTTTTTTCTGCATCGTCCAAAAATTGGCTATAAAATATGAAATTTTATGTGGTGGCCATTTAAATTGGCCGCCAACCCACACTGTCTCATATCCCACTCAAAGCAGCGCTATTCTGATGAAAAATTGTCAATAGCAGCAACCGTCTGTGTCATGCATGACAACAACTGTCTGCTCTGCTTTGATCCGAAAAATAATAGTTTAGCCGTGTAATAAAACAAAGCTTTTGTTATGGTGAATCTGTCATTCCTCCTCTAAATCTAAACTGACAGCAACTGATGGAAAAACACCACTCTGGGGCTCTGTGTGTCCCCTGGCATCCCCATTATTCAGGTCTGCTCTTGGCCACAGGTGGAAATGTGGTCAGACTTTAGTAGACTCCACCCGTGTTCAAACAGTCTTAAGGGTATTTCTGCTGTTCCTAGTGATAAGCACTACCCGTTGTTCTGTTGTGTTTGGACACGCATCTAAACACAGGTGTTGGATTACTATTAAAGGGTTAGTTCACCCAAAAATGAAAATTCTGTCATTAATTACTCACCCTCATGTCGTTCCACACCTCTAAGACCTTCGTTCATCTTCAGAACTCAAATTAAGATATTTTTGATCAAATCCGATGGCTCAGAGAGGCCTCCATTGACAGCAACGCCACCCAAACTTTCAAGATCCATAAAGGTACTAAAGACATCGTTAAAACAGGCGACGTGACTACAGTGGTTCTATAATAATTTTATGAAGCGACGAGAATACTTTGTTCGCAAAAACAAAACAAAAATAATAACTTTATTCAGCAATCTCTTCTCTTCCGTCATTATCCTTATGCGGTTAATGCAGTAAGCACAGTGAAGGCTTCCGTGTTCTACATCCGAACGCCGGGTCATTATTGGCCAAAGCTGCACATGTGAGTGACGCGACGCATGCGTGTGATTCTGATGCAGGAGCCGTCCAATAATGAGCCGGCGTTCTGACGTAGAACCTGGAAGCTTAATGACAGAATTTTCATTTTTGGGTGAACTAACCCTTTAACACCTGTCAAAAAGAGTGGCAAACAGGCATAGCGTGCTGGATAAGAGGGCAGAGATGAGTTCAAAAAGATCTAACTGTTGTAGATCTAATGCTGGTGTTGGACTTTTTGCTTAGATGTAACCTTCATATTTTCATGTCTTTTGAATATAAAGACCTCTCAGGCATGCAGGAGTAGTTTTGAGGAATATTTCACGCTTTACTCTCTCTCATGTTGATCCAAACCTGATTGACTTTCTTCCATGGAGTGCGAAAGGAGAAATTTTAAAGAATGTGCTGCTCACCAATTCCCATGCAATTACAATGAATGAGGACAGGTGATTACAGGCTTAAAAGCATGCAAAGCACCACAAACTAACCATAAATGGTGCATGTGACTCTTTTTACATCACCTCACTCACCAGCTGATTAGAACAATTACTCATGTTTTTATCAGCTGAAATTACCGTATTGGCCCGAATATAAGACGACCCTGATTATAAGACGACCCCCCTTTTCCAGATGTACCTTTTGGAAAAAGGCTTTTTAAAAACCAAATCTTGTTTTTTCTCAGTAAAACACATTTTGTTTTCACTTTTTTTCATATTGCATATTTTTCCTATTTTAATTTTTGTTTTGAAAGTATGGTAAAAACTGGTAAAATGTACCAACAATCACATTTAAAAAATAAACACTTTTTGATATACCATAAAAATAAAAAAATAATAGTAGCCTACCAAAATCTTATTAACAGTAGAAGTTCAATCTTACTGTAGTCTTCAAATCTGGGTACTGTCTTACGTTTTAAAATCACAAAGGGAATTTGGTCCCATCAGGCTAACCTGACAGTCATGACTCATGCAGCTGTAAGGTTTTCTTCTTCTTTTGTTTTTCTTGCGATCTTTACAACACGCATTACATTACGTATTTCATGGCACACTCGTTTTATGCGTATTTGGCGCCACCTATTGTTGTGGGTGTATTATTGACATGTCAAAGTCTAGACCCTGAATATAAGACGACCGCATTTTTTCAGATGTATTTCCAAGAAAAAAACATCGTCTTATATTCGGGACAATACGGTACATGGTAGATTTATAATTAATAC